ATTTTCAAAATAAGGTCTTTAAGCCATTTCCAGTTCAGATTTCAAGCTAGATTTCGAGCTAGATTTCAACTTTACAACGAAGGATATCATGCTCGAAGCATCCAATATCGACTCAACTTCATTTAGCTCAACAGTAGGGATCTATGATTTATTAGAATTTTCAAGTCGAATTTCAACTCCATTACGGAAGATATTCGATAAATTGGATTTCAATAATAGAGAAAGATATCAGACTCACAGGAGCAAATTTTCTTTTGGATCCTTTTCTTACCGAATGAAAATCTGTGTCCTTGTATCTTTCCCCTATTTTCGTTACACGATAAATGGGCAAAGAGGGGCAGATATAGACACATATTTTCGTCCGGGGTTTTTATATAGAATAATATATATAATAAATATAGTTTTTGAAATATATAATATATAATTTTTGGAAACTTACTTTAAAAAAACCTATAATATATAGTTTTTAAAACGATTTTGAAAACATATAGTTTTTAAGATAATTTTGAAAACATATAATATATAGTTTTTTAAATAGTTTTGAAAACATATAATATATGTTTTTTAAAACGATTTTGAAAACATATATTTTTAAGATAATTTTGAAAACATATAATATATAGTTTTTTTTAAAAAAAAATAGTTTTGAAAACGTATAATATATGATTTTAAAGCGGTTTTGAAAACATATATAGCTTTTTAAAATAATTTTGAAAATGTATAATATAGTTTTTAAAATAATTTTGAAAACGTATATAATTTTAAAATATTTTTGCAAATGTATAATATATATTTTTTAAATCGTTTTTAAAAAAACTATATATATATATATATTATATAGTTTTTAAAATGGTTTTAGAAAATAGTTTTTTTAAATATATATTAATATATTATATAGTTTTTGGGAATATAAAATATATTATATAGTTTTTATTATTTATGTTATTTATTATTATTTTAGGTTATATTATTTATTTATTTATTCATTAAATTTTAATAGGTTCAATCCAGTCCAAAGTGCAGCCCAACCGAGCCAGTAAGTCTGACCCAACAAACCAGCCCGGTTAGGGGGGCCTGACCTAGTTTATATGCAAAATAGGGTTTCACAAATCAAGCTTAGCGCCACACCAGATCAATGGTTGAGATCGAAGCAAAATAGGGTTGTAAAACCCTAATCATATGAAGCCAAGCGCCGCACGAGAGGAAGCAACCATCACGTGTGGAGGCCACGCACCAACAAGTTGGTCGAAACTTTCGGCGAAACGCTCGGGACTGAACCATCCTGGGATTTCCGACCCAACACGACCTCAATAGAAAGTGAACAAGTCGAGGATGACCTCGAGATCATCGGGACCCAAACGACCGATCGAAGGCTATAAAAACCTCGTCGGGGGAGAGCAAAAAATAGGGGAAGAAATACGAGCAGCAAGACCACAATAACCATCATAATACCAAGAGAAACGAAACAACATATAACAACATCGAACAAAAAAAACCAAAAACCACCAAACACAAGCAATATTCGGCCAAAACCGAATGCAACCAAACCAAAAACATCGAAAAAACAAAGTCATAAACGTTCAAAACTAAAACCAAAAGGAAAACCTTTGCCTCATCAAGGGTCGACGGGAACACGTGAGAGCGTCGTCGAAGAAGAAGAAGCTGTCGGAAGTTAGAAAGTTCATCGGGAAAGGTAAAAATCGAACGAAATTTTTTAAATCTACGCTATTTAGGGCTTATTTTGGGGATCAAGTTTAGTTTTAGCGTGTCGAGCAGAGTGTTTTGGGGTAGGATTTTAGTCTTTCGACCACCGGAGGCGGCCTTCGGAGGGGCGGACCAGCGGCGGTTGGCGGTGGCGCTCTAGGCCAGCGGGTGGCCGGCTAGGGGAGAGTTGAGAGAGTTTTTGTAAGGGGGAGAGTGTTTTAAGGAATGGATGAAATATGAGCTAATTTTGGGTTTTTAGGGGTCATATATATAAGGGGGATTAAAGTGCAAATAGCAAATAGTTAAATCATTTCCGCAGTCCCTGTAGTTTTGAAGCGTAATTCATTCTGGTCACCTATTGTAAATTGAGCCCTTAAATTTTAAATTTTAATTATTTCAATTTAATTCCTGTTATATTTTTTATACGTTTGCAATTTAATCCTCTAACTTTATTTTTTTTTTGTATTTACAGCTTTAATTAATTCAACTTGATCCTTTATCATTTCCAATTTAATACTTTTATTTTAGATTTCCTTTTATTTATTTAATTCTATTTTATTTTTTATATATATATTTTTTATTTTTCTTCAATTCGTTATTTACTTTATTCTAACCCTGATATTAATTTTTCTTTTGTATTTTTTCTTTCTTTCTTTCTTTTATCTTATTTTATTTTATTTAACATTTTTGACCTTTTTAGGATAATTTCAATCAATCAAAGGTAAGTAATTTGGATCGAATCTTTAAATTTTAATTTAACCTTTAATGTTCACAATTAAGACAACCGAAAAATTAAATTAGTACAAAGAGGGCAGTACAAGGGTGCAATCCTTCCTTGACTGTAATCGACTCCCGAATCCGACATATTTCTTGTAAACGCAGATCAGGTGGTGGCTCTAACATGTTTTATTTAAGTTGAAGCCCAATTTCGGGCCAACCCGAAGGACGGTTACGACAATAGATTAACGTTCAGCTCAGACTGTCGTCAATTTTTTAATAGAAAATGATGAGCTTGGACCATAATGAATAATCATGTGACCATTTTGTAACTTTTAATAGTCGAAAGACTCAACAAAGCAACTCCCTATGGTCAAGAAACTATTTGTATACTTTACCCAATAATAAAAGACTTAAAAAAATTAAATTCTTTTTATACACTTGGCCGACTTATATGTACCAACTATTAATTTTGAGGTATAAAATGAAATTCCAATACAATACATTGTTGTTTAGCTTTTCTTTTTGTGGTCAATGCATTTGGGGATTCTTGAAACGTGCAAGCCTCTTCATTCGCAGCTTGTAAAATTATAAACGAAGTAGGTGTTTTTTTTCCTCTTCAAATAAATTTATATAAATAAATAAATAAATCATGTTTTATATATGATCAGATCCCATTGCAATTCGTTTCTGTATCTACTTTTTTAGTCCAATGACTTGTTAGGATGAACATTTCACATATCGAAATGGAATATATGGACATAGTTTGACTTTTTTTTTTCTTTTTGTTGCCCTCCCGGTTTTAAGGTTTTGCTTTGATTTATTCCAGACCGACCTGCGTCGCACACCTGATTTTAGTGGGTGAGCCTTTCAGTAAGAATTTTCTGCATATTCAATGACTCAAACTTGATACCTTACTTAAGCGATATCAAACTGCTTACTACTTAAACCAACCCCTAGTAGTATATAGTTTGACTTTTTAATTATGGATAAAACAATTAAATACAACACACATTTCCACTTTCAATCTCAATTTCTTCTCTTTGTTACATTATAATTTAGAAAATTAGGTTTTTTGATCATCGTACTTAACCTAATGAGTTAATTTGAATTTAATTATTAGTTAATTTAATATTTATCATTTTTTTATAAAAACAACTTGTTTTATTAAAAAGATGAAATATTTTAGAGTTATAATTTAGGTTTACAATCATAATCATAAATTAAACATATAATTAGGATATTTTTCTATAACTATTGAAATAAAAAATTAGCCTCTTAAGATCACACAAGGACCATATAGGGAAAATGTTAAAAACCTAATAAAAAAACTCGAACAAAAGATAGATACGAACAAATCTAACCGCATAGACAAATGAGCGATAAAAGATAATCAAACTACTAAAAGACGATCGACAAATCACAAATTAGAGTCGAGTAATGTAAGAAAACTATCAACGAACAAAAATCAAATATCCAAATCCAATCTAAGGGTCCAAAGTAGGGAAGATAATTATAACAACAAATAAGCGACATCTTGATAAATCATGCTGATGTCAAATCTAATTTTGAGAAAATAGATAAACAAAAACAATATCCAAACGACTGATAACAAAGACAGAAAGTGTACCAAAAGGTAAAAAATTATTTTTCATAAATATACAATTATTAAAGATTAGAAAAAAAGATGTAATGTAAAAAAGTAAAAGAAAAAATATAGATGACGATTATCAACACCAAGACATATATCATCATCTAATTTTATATTTATATTAATTAATTTAGATTAAAATTATTAATGCAATTATAAGTTATAATTTATGTTATAATATCAGAACGGTTAATGACAAATGAAAATTATTGAATAGAAAAATAAAAGACACAAAGATTTTATGGAAAATCTAAAGGGGAAAAACCAAAGACAATGGAGATGAAACTTTTACTATGTCAAAAAAATACAAGATCTATTACAATTGTTACATAACAAAACCCTAATCTCAACTCTCTATTTATAGAGATCAAACGGAGAAACAATTAGATCACAACTTTAACAATTTCGAAAAAAATTATATATCGATAACAATTTCGCATTACACTTACACATGCACCTACATCTTTAATTTTTTATATATTAAGAACGCACATAATTAATTCACTTTTTAATAAAGAAATTTAAATATTAATGTCAAAACCCTTTACTTTATTTTTTAATATATTTTTTGTCATAACTGATGAAAAGGAGTATTATTTTTTTGAAATCTCGAATTCGAATAGTTGTGTCTGTAAGTAGTGTGTATGTTGCCAATGATTAAAAAAAATTATTAACAAATACTACCTTGTAATCTCCTCGAACTATTAAAAAAATAGATTTTTTTTGTCAACTCATCAACTAGGTTTGTTGTGATATTTTTATAAACAAAAAAAGAACACATAGTTGCCTATGTGATTTCTTTTGAAACCGTGTTCTATACTGGAAACTTTGACCCTTGCACGTTTCAACTTTCTCCAACTATATAATTCATATTCTCAAATGTGCTCTTCATAACCCAAACACTTCAGAGAAAAAAGAATAAGAAATCATGAGATTGAAGGCCACATTTCTGCTTTTGCTTTTGATTCTTCCACTTGCCTTAGCAAACCTAAGCGTTAGTTTTTATAGGAGAAGCTGTCCAAAAGCTGAATCCATAGTTCAGGCAGCCGTGCGACGACGTTTGGCTCGCGATAAATCCATCACTGCAGCCTTGCTTCGCATGCATTTCCATGACTGTTTCGTTAGAGTAAGCATTCTTCTTCTTTAAAATAGTTGCTAGGTCACTAGTTATGATTTTGTTTTAATAATGGTTGTACTTTTATGTAGGGTTGCGACGCATCAATTCTTATAGACTCGACCAGAAAAAGGCCATCGGAGAAAGATGCCGGACCGAACTTGACGGTACGAGGATACGAGCTCATTGATGAAGCAAAGAAAGCCCTAGAAGCCACTTGCCCTTCAAGAGTCTCATGTGCAGATATCATAGCATTAGCAACCCGAGATGCCGTATTTCTGTCTGGAGGACCCTTTTATGGTGTCCCGACAGGAAGGCGAGACGGCCTCGTCTCAAGCCCTGACGAAGTGAACTTGCCGGGGCCGACATTGTCTGTTTCGCAGGCTTTCCAAAGTTTCAGGACTAAAAACATGACCATGGATGACATGGTTACACTCTTGGGAGCACATACAGTTGGTGTCGCTCATTGTAGTTTCTTCTTGGATAGAATCATAGGGTCGGATCCTACAATGGATCGTGGCTTGCGTAACAAGCTAAATGCTATTTGTGGTGCAGCCAATGGTTCCAACCCTGACCCTACGGCATTTCTGGACCAGGGCACACCTTTAACTTTTGATAATCAGTTCTTCAAGCAGATTGGTTTGAGGAGAGGGGTGATGAAGATCGATCAGGAGTTAGCCAATGATCGATTATCGCGACGTACCGTTTCGGGTTTCGCGGCAAATCCGACTCTGTTTAGAACGAGGTTTGCTCAGGCTATGGTGAAGATGGGAAATATCCAGGTTCTTGAAGGAAGAGCTGGTGAAATTAGAAAAAATTGCAGAGTTTTTAACCCCAGCCGACGAGTCTGATGCTTCTGAATTGTGTCACGTTGATTTAGTTTGGAATTCATTGGGTTTTTTTTGTGGTTTTATTTTTTGTTTTTGAACCTTCTTGCATGCTCATACTTTGGAACAGAATTGTAACACTCTTAATTAGTCAATGCGATTGTTTGAGTGAAAGTTTGGAAATATATTGTAATAATATTTGATTTTATAATCATATTAAGGGTTCATCTATGAGGAGGCAAGTTGTTTAACTTTAAAATAAATAGGGTCCTAACAAGTAAATAAACAATAAAAATTAAGAGATTGAAGGTTTAATTTCATTAATTTTAAAATTCAAATGTCTTAAAAAAGTAATTAAATTAGTCAAATTTGAGGTTAATGCTTACTTTTATTAATTTTGAAACTGATAGTATCCTAAAAATAATTATACCAAACATTTTTGAGAGAGGAAAAGAATTAATTATAATAGTTTCAAACTACTAGTGGCTTAAAAGGTAATTAAACCATAAAAATATGGAGGCATTACCCCTCCCACCTAAAATGTGGGTCCGTTCCTGCTACCTCATGTAGGGGTGAGCAAAACTCAACTTTACTAAAAAAAATCGATTTTTAACCCCATATGACGAGCCTAATGATTTTAAATTTACGAACCAACTTACTTTAGTGGTTAAAGTAATCGTTGTTATTTCTAGAAGTCATAGATTTAAGCAACAACAATTGCAACAAGAGTGATTGAGTGTTTATTGTTAAATGGTTAAAAATATTTAGAACATATATTACTTTTTAATCACATTAGCTTAATACAAATTTTGTCTCCTAAAGGGAAAGGATGAATTTGCTTGGATTATACTTTTAAACCAAATAAATAAACTCAAACTCTATTTTAAATAATCTAAGTTGATTATAGGGTAATATTTGTCTGAAAGATTCTCAATCATACGACAATGAACACCTTAATACCCCTACAGATGTCGTGCTCGAACATAAATTCTCTAAGAATAATACCCATCCCTTGACATTGAGGTCGCTTGGTTCCTAGAAACAAAACGTTGAATTTGTTTGAAACTTATTGGCTTTTTTTATTGTTTTGTTTTGAACCTTACATGCTCATACTTGTATATGATCGCTTGTAACGCTTTTTCCCCTTAAATTTCTTTGGGACAAAAATGTAACACTCTGAATTAGTGGATGCAGTTGGTGTGGAAAGATATTGTGATAATACTGATTTTATATTATTGAAAAAATAGAAAAATCAAATGAAATCAGTCTGAATTGGTAAATATATTTGGATAAATTACATCACATGTCACCATATTACAAGTAAGTTTATAATTATGTTTTATATTTTAGAAAGTCTTAATCTGATTATAAGTAAAAAAACCAATGTATGTTACAATTTATAAATAAAACAATATGATTGTGACCTTTGAAATATGATGACCTAATTCTAAACTTACTCATAATACAATGACCTATGATATAATGTATCATATATATATTTATTAAATATTTTATGTTTATAGTTAATGTATATTAAAAACCTTAATATTAATATTACATTGTAGTTTTTTAGACTAAAAAAAACTCATATTATGTATTAAAATTAATGTATATTGTTTATTTTATGGAAAATGTATATTATTTTTTTAAGTATTTAATTTACTATACTTTGATGTTTATTTAATATTTAAAAAATCTCAATTAAATTAAGTAATTCATCCTGTCTCATTGAATGAATCAACAACTTGAATCATTAAGTAAACATCAACTTGATTTTTTTAAACATTCAATTTTATAAACCATTTTTTAATAGAGATGAAAAATCAATCAACACTCGCAGAAGAGTTGCAGAAATCTGTACTCCGCATAACAACCTCTTTGAATATCATAGGAATCAAAATAGGAAATGTCGCACTGATACATGAGATGATTCACTGATTCATTTTCCTTCGAACAGGAGACGCACAAGCATGACCCCAAAACCACCCCACGCTTAAATAGTTCGACACGAGTTTGAATTTTGTCCTGAACTGCTTTCCATAAGAACGCTTCCACTTTTGGAGGGGCTAAGTTGGATCAGACCAACTTCAAAAGGTGGTTTGGTTCAGAACCCGCTTTCCTTACAACAACGCTGAAAGCTTTTGGAGAATACCATCTGTTCGAGCACCCTACCCTCCTAATACCATCAGTAAGCACAAGACTCCAAGCAGCTACATTCAGGACCCTTGAGAAGTTTTCCCAAATGCCTATTTTCCAATTGAAAGGGCGTCTGCGAAGGGAAACATTCCATGACCAAATCTCAACAACCCTTGAACCAAAATCACACACCTTACCACTCTTTTTGATTGCAAGAACAAAAGTTCTAGGGAAAGTGGCAATTAGTGAAGATTCTCCCACCTAATGATCAGTCCAAAAATTTATAAGTTTTCCATTACCAATGAAAATTGAATATTTTTTGTAAACATATAATCTTGATTGAGCAAAGGCCTCGAAATGTTCTTCTATACCCATGATAAATTTCAAAATTAGTTAAAATTCAAGATAAGACCTGAAGGATCAACATCGTACTTGGCATCAATCACTTTTCTTCGCAGGCTATCGGGTTCACATCCGTATCTCCAGGGCCATTTGTTTAGGTTTCGGTTTTAGATCGAAAAACCTGAGGCCCCCGTACTCTTTTGGTCGGCACTTGTTTTCCCACTTGATCCAATGGATTGAACAATTTGATAAAGATCCCCAAATGAACCTTACAATAATTTTGTTTAGAGAAGAAGCACTGAAACCGACATCTGGAATAGAGAAATAAAATAAATCGGCAAGTTTGAGAGGACAAACTTTACAAGGGTCACTTGGCCACCAAAAGAGAGCATTTTTCCTTTCACCCATCAAGTTGGGACATAAATTTGTCAAGGAATCACATCCACAATGGATTGAATTAGCCCGAAGTATAATAGAGCTTTCTTCTACATTGGTTCCATAGATCTTTCATTTCTTCAATTTTAATTTAAGCCCAGAAGCAAGTTCAAAGATTCTTAGAGTTTTCTTATATTCCTACCGTAATATGCTTCAGCATTGGAAATTTCGAACTGAAAATGCGATATAATAAGACCCTCTTTACCTACTGCCACGTTGTCAAAAAGCCCAACATCAATTGCTTTTCGAACTAGAACACTTAGAGCTTTAACAATAAGGTTGAACAACAACGGGAAAGTGGACAACCCTGTCTCAAATCTCTTTTGATAATAAACATGTTCGAGAGAACCATTGATCAGAACAGAAATGGATGTCGTAGAAATACACAATCTAATCCATTTTCGCCACTTAGAACCAAAACCCATTTTGTTAGACATTAATCCAAGAATGATCAATCCACAGTATCATAAGCCTTCTTAAAATCCGCTTTGATTACTATGACTTCTTGATTATTGCAAGTGATGAAATCAATAACCTCTTTAGCAATGAGACAACAATAAGAAATTTGTTTCCCGAGAGTGAAAGAATATTGAGACTCCCCAACCACTTCATTAATATAAAAGTGTTGAAAACATTTTGATATTTCGATATAACAAATTAAGTTAAATGAATTTTAAGATTTTCCAAATGATTTTCTAAGTATATTCGATATAATTATTCGAATATCAAAACATTACTCCAAATATTTCAAAAATCATTTTTAATCCTTACTTAAGTGTAAAATTAAGTTTTAATCTTAAAACAATTTCAAAATAATCTTTCAAAGTATTTCGAACCATTTCAAAGCCAAAAATTCAGATTGCTCAGAGGGAACCGATTTCCCCCCAAGGGGGTACCGATTCCCCCCTGAATGGTTTGGCTCCGAGATTTCCAGAATGCTCGGAGGGAACCGATTCCCCCATAGGGGGTACCGATTCCCCCCTGTTCAACGGTGTTTTATTAATTGTTTTCACACTAAAACGTCTATATGATCTTCACTAATCATCCCCAACGTTCATAAGTGATTCAAGGTGTATTTAAACAAGTTCTGAAGCCCTTGATCAACAAGAAATTATAGAGAAACAAGAGAGAAAGCATCAAACACCAAGTTTGTGCAAATCAAGCCAATTTTCCTTTCAATATTCATCTTGCTTTCAAAGAACACCATTTGTGCTCATTTGTAATTATTTGTGAGTGTTCTTTTCTTGTTCTAGAATTGTGCAAACATCTTACCTTGTGAGGTTTTCCTTGTAAGTTTTGCAAATTTGTAATCTTCTCTTTTGGGAAAGAGTGTTCTCAAGAATTGGGGTATATTCTTGAGGGTGTTGTAAGGTTATCTCTTTGGCCTCAAAAGAAAGAACAAATTAGTGAATTTGTTGGAAAATCCTTAGTGTGGATAGCTAAGGTAGTGGACGTAGACTTTGATTGAAAAAGTCGAACAACTCTAAATTGCTGTGCAATTACTTTCAATTTTCTGCAAAAGCTTCCACCAAATTTTTAATTGCCAATTCACCCCCTCTTGGCCAATTCCGTCAATCGATTAACTCAACAATTGGTATCAGAGCCTAACTCATTTGAAGGTTTAATTGCCTCTTGAGTCGATTCGGGAAGAGTTATATCGATAATCAAAGTCATCAATGGCCTCCGCTTCAAACTTCGACTCCGGTCTCGACTCGATGCCCGTCAACAAGCCTCCTTTCTTCAATGGAGCTAACTATGCCTATTGGAAGAATAGAATGATGTACTTCATTCAAGCAAGTGACATGGGAGCATGGAATGCTGTAGAAGAAGGATACATCAAATCTCTCACTCATCCAAGGTTGTGGAGTGAAGGAGAGACAAGAATGTTCCAGCTCAACTCCAAAGCCATCCATATCATTTTTTGTGCTCTTAGACCAGATGAATACGGAAGAGTTTCATCGTGTACAACCGCCAAAGAAATATGGGACAAACTTCAAGTCACTCATGAAGGTACCGATGAGGTAAAGAAATCTAAAATTAGTATTCTAATGCATAGCTATGAAAATTTCAGGATGAAACCAAATGAAGATATCAAAGCTATGACGAATAGA